ACGAAAACCATTAGTCAAGACAGCCAATCTTCAGACCGATATTTGAACTTAGAATCTCCTACGAGCACGAGTGCTGCGAAGCTCGGTAGCTGAGTAAATTGTTAACATAGGTAATTAGTAATAGAGGATTATTTATCTTATGATCCAAATTGTTAAACCTTCCGGAGGTAAATAGACCTATTAAAATAAATTGACTCTTAGGTTATTTAATAACGCAAATATTTGACTGATACGAATCAAAAGTAAATCGCTTAATTTAAATCTGATTATTAACTTAGTTGCGGAAATTAAACTTGCGGACAGACAGAAGAAACGTTTACATTATGCGTTTATTTAAAACAGTTTATTCAGAGACCATATAAAATACTTCCTTAACGGCACTCATGAAAAACGAATTGTCCTGTGTTCTTCGATGTTGAGGATCTAAGTCAACACAGACAGGCAATTAGGCAAGGTGTTCTTAGAATATTTAATACCGTAAATTATTTTATTTATCTCCTTAAGACTCAACGGTAACTTATATGGAGGTTTGCCGTATACCTTAACGTTCATAAACCCTGCATTTTGCACATAGAATGTATTTGCGTGTTTTGTATGATTCTGAAAATAAACAGTGACAATTTCCTTAAAGAGCATTAACCGATCTTTCTATTAAAACGCGTATTTTCTTTGAGTTATGGACTAAATTATTATATATTATTTAGATGAACTTCGTTCCTCAGAAAGGTTAAAGACGCTATTAAATTGTATTGTGTACCATCAGCGAGTAAAATTTATTTTCTGTTTTGCCTCCATGACATTTATGAAGCTGCTTTTTTCCCTTAGGACGGAGAATTTTTATAAGGAGAATGACCTCCTGGTATAGACGCACAAAACTGGAAAGGATCATTAGTGTCGATCAAACATTTGGGTTAATAACTACCTTAAGTCGTTTCTAGATCCTGCAATTATAATTAAATTTATGATAGGGCTCACAATCAGTTATTTCTGTACTCGTGGTGGGTCATGTCACATGTGGAACTGATCCCATACGATTAGGCCCCTATCCCCCCACACTCTCTCTATCCGTCCCCCCTGAGTTGTCAAGGAAGTCACGAACATCAGCTTTCTTGATAAAATTTAGGAAGGAAAAAAGCAGTAAAGATACCGGGGCCAACATTTAGTATCACTGGTCTTCTAATGCCTTACAGACTTATAAATCGTATTTGTTTTAAGAACGTCCTCTCAGATATGACGAATGTTACTTGTATTTCCAGACTAAAAGTTAACTCTGCAAGGGTCAAGAATTCTTTGCAACAGAACGCACGTTAGTATTACCAACTGATTAATATTTTTAAACATCTTATATAAAATTATGGATTTAGCTCCGATCTGTGGCCAACTCCTCTTCTATCCTTTTCCATAAACTTTCCAGCGATTGAGGTCAAAGGACGATGGAAGTTTGCCTTCTGACAAACAACGTCCGTTGCAGTTCTCTCAACCGCAAGTCCTTTCCATTACTTAACATTCTCCATATTCTTTCTCTTTTCATTTTCTTTACGAAATATTTCAGCTCTCCGACAAAACGGGTGACATGAATGTCTTGTGCAGTGCAGCTGGTATTCCTCTGACGAAGTGATTCAGTACTTTTGTTCCAGTATTATCAGCTTTCAAGCGATTCAGGGCTGAGGGTGGCAACCCTGCCTCGTAAACCTTTAACTACGTGATGGCGCCACAGGGCTATTTCCAGTATCGACGCAAACGTGACGTATCCTGCAGCGGAGTTCGTCTGCCCCTTCTATTAGTTATTACTAATTAATACCAACCGATGAGAAGTTTCGAGTCAGTGGCAGGGATAAAACTTTTCTTCGATCTGGACACCTGATTCGAATTGATGACGCGTGATCGGTTTCCTTCAACGTTTCCATCAGTCAAAAAAATATAAGGAGTAGGATGAGCTATATGAAGGCTCTCCTACTTCCATGCGTGACGCTCGTACCAAGTTTCAGGAAAATCCGTCACATTGTAAGGGTGTAGAACAGGTGGAATCAAAGTGGATGGAAAATGACAGAAAACTTACTAGGATTTGAGATTCTCACGTCAACGAATACGAAAGATAGCCCTCTTTATGTTCTCTAGCGCCGTGTAGACTGACAAAAGTTTATCGACGTTTCAGAACTGCGTGCTGCCTTTGTCATCAGAGCGATTGCAACCAAGAAGACAGTCATCTTCATACTCGCCCCCGTGAGAATCCTAAATCTAAGTTAGCTTGTTAACCCCTGAGATGTACTACGCATTGCCGATTGAACTGAAGGCCGGCCACAACTCTGAAGAGCTGGTGCTTCGGTTGAATTTCTGCCCTCAGTTGGTGTGACTTTATGCATTAAACTGTTAACCAATCGACGAAAGATCTGCTAACAGAGATCGCTAAAGAATGTGTAATAAACGTTGCTAACCAACGAAACAGCGGATACATAGACAGATTTCGTAATGATGAAATAAATTATGGTCTCTTAGCAATAATAAATTTGCTAGATGTGATTTTATGTGTGCCCTATAAAGATTGACTTAAGGCAGTAACATGTCCGTCTGACTGCGCCTCTAATATCTTTTGAACAAACTGACGGCTTTTCAAAAAAACTTTTCACGAAAATCGTACTAATGAACACCTATAGCATTCGTGCGAAGTGGGATTAGTGTTTCTTAACGTATAGCTCTGATATTTTGTGTAGAGATATCGTAGATATTAGATATTTTGTGGGAGGACTTTCGTAAACATGATCAATCTTTTCGTGTGCCACTCTAGACTTTGATCCACCTGTTAGGTAGCTTACTTTTCGATCCGGTCGTCCGGAAGTGGCAGCAGATATCCTCCTAATAAATGTTTAGACGAGCAACACTTAAGTGCTGCAGTGATTTAGTAATTAATGTTTCAAAACAAGAAGACCTTGTAGAATTGTCATGAAAATTCTAGCCGTGAACTCTCATCCCAGCACAGGCCTATAAGAAGTTTTTTTTCCATTAATAGAGCCGTACTTTGAAAAGGAGTTTCTGTACTTTTCTACGTGTACCTGGGGATCTGTATTTAGCTTTAGGTTTGATGGTGATAACTAGTCAACTAAACGAGATTGCTAACTGATATGTTGTGTGGAGATAAGGGCCTATAGGCCTAGGTGTTATATATATAACCTACATACAAATTTCTATGTACCATTCTGTGAATGTAACAACTACTAACACCAGAAACTTTCAGGTTATAGGTCAGTCAGATTTCGTTGTCGGAATTTGTAGGCTTGCTATTGGAAGTTGTGCACAGAAATTGATTAGGTTACTAAATTTTAATTATTAATTTAAAACTTGATGGTAGAAATTTAAATTAGCTAATAATTTAAACCCTGATGGAGGAAAATAAAATAAATTTAACTCTCTGTAGAAAGTCGTTATTAATTTAAGGTCGGTCTTCAATCAGGAGTTATTCAGCTTATCGAGACAATTGTTGCTTGAGACCTCGAAGATTCATCATAATCCTCGCAGAATGTTATCACTGGATCCTACCCTGAGTCAGTTTTATCTTCACTAAGCTCCCAATTTCATGTTAACATTATCACGCAAGAGTCTCACGGGCTTGAACAGGTCACTTTATATTTGTAACAGGTATTTTGAACACAGCTCTTGTTCCTCCCATGTCCCACCCGTACCAAACAAACTGACGTACTAGTTACAAAGACTCAGACTTTAATTCTTTGTTTTCCATTTTAAATATCGGTTATCGTAATGACATTTTAATTTTTCTTTCAGTCTGTTATGTCAAATGCAAACTCCATCAAAATCCTCTCAAATATCTCGTCCATCTCAAACTTACTTATTTAATTGCACTGACAATAAACTGCAGAGTAGAAATTGACGAGGATTTGTCTTCATTTATATTTTAGGTTGGTGGGGACAATGACAAATAGAGGTTAAGCGTTAGCCTTCTTAGGGCAGGGTGGACGTTTCCCTAAATTTGTCTAAATGCGTCAGTATTCAGTTCAGATTCTACTCAGCCATGAGGTTTCTCTTGCAGCTTACAGCTTGACTCCTAAATTTCAGCCGTATGAACAAACGAGGCCTTGAGAATACGAAGCCACGTTTATTCTAACATATGTCCTTCATATCCTTTCGTGAAGGAGAAAGAAAATGGTACCAGATGAATAATGCAACACATGTTATTATTCCGCCTTCAATTTCTTTCAACCACAAGCATACGCTATCTGGTAAGGAAAATGTGCAAAGGCTCCGGATGATAGGTCAATATTTCTTGTATATTATCCAGCACATCCTGCCATCTATCCATGCTCCAGGACAACTTCGTGATGCAATTGCAATGCTCATAGACGTCACAGATAACGTACGTAGACGAGAAGGTTTACAGACGGTAATTGAACAGAAGGTAGGGAAATGATTTATGTAATAGGGCTTGTAAATTAAACGTTGATCAAATACCACAATTTACTCTACGTCTTATATAAGACACAATTTCACCATTGACTCTTTGCTTGCAGTTGGTAGTTGCACCGGTTTGATACTATACCATGTGCGTTATGATGTTACTACACTTTACAAGTCTGAATGATTAAAACATTTTCAGGTTTAGGACACATATTTAAAATATGTGCACAAGTTGCGTTAATCAAGTTAGAATGTTTTGTGTCAGCGTTTCCAGTAGGAGGTGGTTTCATTAACCAAACAAAGGAACATTATTTTGATAGTAGAAGAATAATGTAAATAATGATAACCTTTGTTTAATGATTTTCCCCATTTCGTGCTTAATTTGTCTCTGTTAGGTCCAAATATTTTTCATGGCAGTGTTTACCCTCCATTATCATTACTTGTATTTAGGATGTATCCACATCCAATTTTGGCCACTGACTGAGCTTTTTCCCAGGTTTTCTTAAACGTTCTAGCCAAATACCAGAATGATACTTTGAAGTAGGCTGTGCCCACTTGCTCAACATTTATTGTTCTATATTTCAGTTGACATAATGGGAGGGCATCACAGAAAGGCTTTAAGGAAAGAAAAGTCGAAGGTGAAACTGAAAGCAAAGAAGACTGTGCTAACTAAAGCACAGAATGTTACTGATACCAGTTTTAAGGTCCGAAAGATTGTGTTAAGAGAGCAACTGAAGAGTGGAGTTTCCGATGAAATGCAGATGATGAGAAAACAGAATGTCAAGGTGTGTACTTTGAGAATATTTATTGTTATGTTGCCTGAAACTGTGTTCTGGATGAACACATTCTTTCAGTTATGATTTCATGTTAATTATTGTTTAAGAAAATGGGAGAGAAACCAGTGGACCATATATGGCCTTCTGGATTTAAAAAACAGGCCCACAAGCTAATTTCACAAATTAAAAATTACAAACACTGTTTACAGATGCCAAGATATTAGAAGTATGTTATTAGAGAAAATATTTAGTACTTGATAGAAGAATATAATTTTAGTTTAGCCATCTGCTATTGATGTTCAATCATGGTGGAATAAGAATGCTGAGGCACACTTTATATTCAAACCTAAGTTGTATACATACAGATACAGCCAAAGATGCTGACACACCTTTAACCCAAACATACAGTCTCTTCTATTTTGTGAATTAGACTGAAGCCTGTTGTGACTTTGTAGCTGTTGTCGTATATCAGCAACATATTCATTTACATACTTCTCAATCAACAACAGGAACTGCTATCCAAGCTTGGTCACTACAATATCTTTATGCAGAAGAGCAGTCTAGCGGGACTTCAGGAGCTCGTAACACACCATTACGAAGATATTCCTGATTTATATCTCACCAACCTTATTGAAGGGACGGCTCGATTGATATTAGACCAAGAGAAAGATGTCCGCAAGGATGCACTTAAACTGCTAAATAGTATACTTACTCAGGTGACATTTTTTAAGTCTTTTAATGTTGCAAATTTATTTAAGATGTGCGAGATATCAAGTTCTTATGACAGTATGAAGCTGATTAGCTGTGTCAGTTGTTCATTTGAATCTGCAATAAATGAACATCAAAATCAATGACGGATGCAATGTCAAAGGAAGCAAACTAATTCCATGGTAAAGCCTTTTTTTTTTGTAAGCTTCAACTGGTCAAGAAATTCTTTGTGTTTATAGAACCCAAAGATTCATACAAAAGCCTACCATCGAACCCCATTATGATCCACACCCTCACCTTCTCCTTCATTGGTTAAGTATTATATTGCCACCTGTGCATAGTTTTGTTGAGATTTTCTGACCAGAATTTTGTATGCATGTCATTTGTTCCACCTGTGTAACTCATTCTCTTTGATTTAGTCACCCATTGGTTACAGTACAAATTATTAAGCTCTTTAGAATTTGATTTTCTCTATCCTCTTATTTCCACATTTTAGGCATGTTTTTCTCACGTGCCAAAAAACACTTTAAAGAAATATTTTGTGCTTTACATCCAAGTTCCCATCGCTCTTATTCTAATTTATGAAAATTCTTATTCACCTGGAAAGTGTGGTAGAAGTGTATTTGTGTTAAGGATAAATTATGTACATTTCTACTGACCCATTTTTCATAGGTGCCCGTGTCCAAAGTGTTGCCATTTTTCAATGTGCTGCTAAGCTATCTTAAGTGTGGAATGACTCACATCCACACGTCCATCCAGGACGACTCTCTCACGATGCTCGACATACTCCTTGTGTCAACACCAGTGCTCGTTGCTGCCAATGCAAACACAATCTTGAGTAACTTCCTCGACATGATTTCAAGTTTAAAGACAGATTCCAGTCCTGAACGTACTCTAACGGTGAACCTCAGTCGCCGGTTAACAAGTACTATGTGGCGTATGAAAGTGTTGCGTCGGCTAAAAGGCTTGCTGTCTGCAGTAGCTGCATATAAGAATGAGCAGAGTAGGAAGAATATTGGACACCTTGGAGATTTGTCAGAGAACACTGCTTGTTCACGTGGTAAGGCACTTTATACCTTGTATCTCTTGCATATCCTTATAACTGTTCCATAAGGTGAATGAAATGTCCTAGAGTACTCTGCAGGGATGACCAGATGTGTCTGATGATTTCAAAAGTGGTACAGAGTATGTAAGATTTGAGGTTTTCTCAGCGGTGAGTATGAAGATTTCTGTCTTCTGGGTTATTGCGCTGTGTAGTCTGGTAGATGGATGACGGAGGCAGTATGACCTCTGAAACGTTGGTAAACATCTACCAGACTACACAGCGCAACAACCCAGAAGACAGAAATCTTGGTACACAGTTGTAGATATAATAAATAAATCGTGCGTGTGTGTGCACTCTTGTTAACTAATTGGCTGTGTTTAGCGCATTCATAACTACTGATTTTTTGTGCCTGTCTTGTAGACTGCTGGAACTGGAAGGAAAATTCAGAGTTGTATATACCAGTCTACAACCTTTACTACAGGGACACATGCCATTTGCCTAATATCTTTAGTGCAGGCGGCAACAGTTCATGTGAAAACGGTACTGAAGAAAAGCACTTGAAAGAATATGTGAAAGTCCTGGTGCCTCTTTTGACAGAAACTTGGCGTGAAGTTGCTCCTGATCATATTAATAGTGCAAGGAACCGTAAAGGTGAGTGTGAACAGAAAGAATTTATCTCCCTGCGCAACTGTCCAAGGTATATGAAGTATGTAGTTTTATGTAGACCCATAAAAAAAGTAATTGTCTGAGGTCTGGAGATGGCACAGGTTTTGAACCTCTTCTTCCAATTCATTGTGCTGGAAAATGCTCATTTATACCTTCACATTCTGTAGACATGCTGGAACTTTGTGTTTGCCTGAAACTGGACAGTCTTATGATGGAGGCCTTCCTACACAGTGACATCGTGGAGGTCTGAATGAGCATTTCCCAGGGTAGTGGACTGGAAGCGGTGATTCAAAAACTTTGCCACCTCAATCATTGGACCTTATTCCCCAAATTTTTGCATGTGGGACTGTGTAAAATGATATAATGTGTGAACATTGATGAGATAGACCATCTGAAGGGAAGAATCTGAAACTCCAGATGTTCTCATGTAGGTTTCCAAGAATTGGAAAATCAAATAACATGCAAGACTATTGGACTTCACTTTGAATGTCTATAGCCATACATGCACAGTTTTTTCAATAATACATTTTGTATTGGTATTTGGTTTTTAATACGCCTTGTAATGTTTTGGGATATCCATAATGTTCATTCTTTGGTCTCTACAGAGGGCTACAGTTTGCTGTCTGTGGAGGCTGCTGAGGTCTTGAAGTGCACCCTTGAGATCTTGCAGCTGCTTTGTGAACTGCTGACATCAGAGGTGTGTGTCTCCATCATTTCCTTAAGTGGCCTTGAAGAGTCAAACGCATTCTTGATTATTGAACCAAAATGGTTATTGCCATGACCATAAAACCCAGGACTGTGTCCAGAGTTCAGTTCAATTAAAATTTTCACAATAATTCTCTCTGGATTGATTATTATATATTATCCTCCAATCTACAGCTTGGTCTTTTTCCTTGAGGTTTTTATCAAATCTCAACAGCATTGAGTGAAGAGTACAAATGTCTGATATTTACTTCAGGCTGCTGAATTCATCACTGCACACAGAAAGGATTTTTCATACCTTTTCT